CATATACACAGCAACGTGACGCTCAGTCCTTTGCTCTCTGTTTGTCCCCACAGGACAAAGACAAATATTTCTGGTGATCCTTTTAACATTTCTTGTTGTTGCACCAACAAGCCAAAACTTTCACTGATACAACAACTACAAGACTCTAATGACGGGATTGCCCTGAAAATGTGCTAGTGATGTGATAGTTAAACCTATTAATAATGCAGTTCTAATCCCATTTACGCAACATAAGAAACAAAAACATCCATTTCTTATGGTTGAGTTAGGAGGAGGACTCGAGGAGTCTCAGTCTGACGAAAGAAGCTGCTCTGTAGTCTGTTGGTCCTGACACTGCTGTGTCGATTCATGCAATTATCTATCGTTATAGATTTTTGGTGTATTTGTCTATTCTGCAAATGTATTTAAACTGGCTACATCTCCGCCAGTTTGAGAAGGAGTGTTTGAAGGAGGAGGAAGAGGAGGAGGAGGAGGAGGAGGTTGACAATAACAGAAGATGACAGCGAATTGCGTGAAGACTGTCGGGGCAGCGAGTGTGTCTAAATAACCAGGTGCTGCGATTTAGTTTCCACCTGGTTAAACAGTGGAATAATTGGTCAAGTTAGCCAGTAATTAGACCAGCTCTGCCACGCTGCATCTGAGAGCCCAGCGACTGCTCTGCCATGCTAATTGGGCTATTTATACCGAAGCCCATTGACCAGGCTCACTGGCCTCCCTTCCAATTCGCTTTTCAGCACTTGTTTATGTTTTCCGTGTGTACTCAGGACACAGCGCCGCCCTCCTCCTCCTCTGCTAAAGCCATTTTTCATTCCAACTTGAGCTGACTGAACTTCTGTCCTCTGTCTCTTTTGTCCGTCTGTCTGTCTCTGTCCTCTGTTTTTTTGTTGTTCTTCCCACTCTTCACTCCTCCACACGGCAGCTCCCTGTCTACCAGGCCCTCTGTGTTGCTAATCAGTATTTTATGAATGCCTGTGTGTGTGTGTGTGTGTGTGTGTGTGTGTGTGTGTGTGTGTGTGT